GATCGCTTTTGCGATCGTAAGATCCGCATCGGTATGCGGATTCGTCGTTAAACGGTGCACTCGTTATACGAGGCACCACTGTACTTGTTAAACCTAATCTGTTTTAAATGCTAGGCATGCTAGTAGACAGATTGCTTAATCTGGTATAAAAATTTTTAATGATGCAATTCCAGAATAAATTGTGTGAATTGTTTCCATGAAGAAAGCACCATGATGATTTGTACTGTATGACTTAAACTGTTTGAACATTCTATTGCAGAATGACATCTCCATGCTTCATAGAGTTTGTCTGTAAGCATGACAATGTCCTTAAATGCTTTGTAAACAGGTATGTATTTGGGTATTAACATATTTCATTAAATGCTTTCGGTATGCTGGTAACTTTAATTTACAGTACATGGTAAAAGATGAAGGTACAGTACCTGCTTACCTGGGGCTTCATTAGACATACCGTAAATATTAAAATGAATGATAAGTGTCTGGTTTAGGAGTAATTATAAAAAGTATCTGTGTGCTGCATTAATAGAAGCACAGTTCAAGGTTGAGACATATCCTTACTGGATCACCGTTCGTTTAGTCGTTTAGTCGTGTCTAGTCTTCTCTTCTCATGAGATGGCCAAAGTACTGGAGCCTCAGCTTCAGGGTCTGTACTTCCAGTGAGCACTCAGGCTTGATTTCCTTTAGAATTGATAGGTTTGTTCTCCTTGCAGTCCAGGGGATTCTCAAGAGCCTCCTCCAGCACCACAATTCAAAGGCATCAATTCTTCGGTGGTCTGCTTTCTTTATGGTCCAGCTCTCACTTCCATACATCACAACAGGAAAAACCATAGCTTTGACTATTCGGACTTTTGTTGGCAAGGTGATGTCTCTGCTTTTCAAGATGCTGTCAAGATTTGTCATCGCTTTCCTCCCAAGAAGCAGGCGTCTTTTAATTTCATGGCTGCTGTCTCCATCTGCAGTGATCATGGAGAACAGGAAGATACCGTATTTTTTGCACCATAAGACACACTTTCTTCCCCTCCAAAAGGGGGGTAGAAAGTCTGTGCGTCTTATGGTGCGAAGGTGGTGACTTCGCCCCCACTGGCCCCGTAGGGGGGAGCGTCGCAAGGGTCCGAGGGAGCCTTCCAGGACCCTTGCGATGCTCTCCCACCCCCCCACGGGGCCAGCGCAGGCGAAATCGCCAGCTTCCAGTTGGGGGGAACGTTGCAAGGGTCCTGGAAGCTCACTCAGACCCTTGCGACGCTCCTCCCACTGGCAAAATCGCCAGTTTCTGGGAGTGTTTCGAGGCTTCCCAAGCCTCCAAACA